GATTGTCACGTAGGCCTGGTCACACAAGAAGGGGTGTGGGGCTACAGGCTCCCAACAGACAACAAAAACAAGGCCTAGTGATTCCAGCACATAAGGCCAAGGAAACCTGGCAAATGTGTCCAGACTGCCAGCTACACAGTCAAGTACCAAAGGGAACTCAGGGGCATAGAGTCAGGGGGATCAGACTTGGCTAGTCCTGGCAAATAGACTACATAGGCTCCCTGGCCTCAATTTGAGGGTAACACTGGTCACTAACTGAAGTAGACACCTTTTCAAGGGTATGGCACTGCCATCTTCATCCACACAGCAGACCATACTAGTGTGGGCCATACTAGTCAAGGAATCTGATGGACTATGTTAGGTGTTTGGATTTTCTGAACACATTTAATCTGTCACCTTTATAGCAATAAGAACCTAGAAATGGACAGCTACCTGGGATATTCTCTGGAACTTTCATGTCCCATATCATCACCATGCATCAGATGGCATTACAAGATGGAATGGACTTAAAGAAAAAACTGAAAAAGACAATTGAACTGAGGTTCAGTTCCCAGTGGAGCATGCACGTGTGCACACACACACACACACACACACACACACACACACTTAAGGCATACAGTTTGGGCCTAAATGTAGCAGTTCTCCAAAAGGGTACTTCCTGTTTAATAGAGTGTTTGATTGTGAGGTTGAGGGTGGTGGGAAAGAAGCTCAGACTGGCTGTAAGAAACCCAAATCACATAATTAATCCTTCTTGCCCTATTTTTCCCCTTCTAATTACTATCCCTGGGGGAAAATGCTAGTAAAATTATGAGTAGCAAAAAAGAACTGGGGAGAGGGCAAATCTAGCCTGATGCTTCTTTTACTTTCTGGCTTCTTCAATTTAGACATGGATATTGGTGATAATTGTCATGAATATGTGGTGGCAACTCCTAAGGTAATCCAGGCATGGCCCACAACATCAAGGGTGGGAAATGTTCTAGGATGGGACAAGGTGTATAAAGAAGAAACTGCCAAGTCACCTAGGTGTGAGTCTGGGCATATGGGATAGGGAGGATTGGGGAAGGGTGAAGTAACCACTGCAGAAACTGCTCCTGTGGAAGGAGAACAACAGTAGCTGATGTGAAGGGTTCTTAGACCCTGGGAGGTCAAGGGTGGATGGAGGGACCATTAACTGCTCTCAGCTCTTATCTTCAGAGCATCTGGCCATAGTAACCCAGACAGCTGCCACCACCCTCAACTAATGGCCAACAAACTATCTTAATCTAAGAACTCTCAGAAACCTCCCAGAAGCCATTGACTCCAGAAATGAACATCCTCCACACAAGATGATAGGACAAGGTAAACCTTCTGGATACTGATATGATTCCCTTTAGCTTCATCTTGTTATTATTGGCCCCCTACGTTCTCCCTCTGCTGCTTAAAGGAAGACCAAACTCTTTTGTGTATTTTTCACAGACTATAAATAATTGTTCTAAATTCTGTAGCATAAGTAGTAATGGACAATCGTACTCCCCTGTACCTTCTGCTGGCCAACTCAAGACAAGGTGGGGTATGTGCTCTTGCTAACACCTCTTGCTTCAGTTGGATTCATGACATACTTAACTGGCTTGGCTCCAGATGGACAGCCTGGCTGCAATCTATTCTCCAAGTAGGCCTGATCAATCTGCTAGGAGTTGCAGTCATAGTACCCTTAACTGATGTTCTTTACAGCAAAGACAATGGAATTGGTACCAGCCCCTATCAGTACAATCATTTAGGGTATCTGATGTGGGGCCTATGTTTCTAAAAAGAACTCTTGGCTAGACACCTAAAAGGTTGAGAGGTGGAGTTTTGGAGAAACAGCTCCACCATGGTACTCTGACGACCTTGCATGTATCCACATAGGCCACACAGGCAAAGGCTTGAACCACAGCTAATGTGAGCCTTCTCCTGGAACATGAGATGGGAGACTCATGAGTTGCTGCTTCAAGGCCATTTCTCAGTCACCTCTTTATATGTCTTGGGAAGGTGTCATGAGACAGTTCTTATTGCCTCCTAGGTTCTGATGAAGTGTGAGGCTTTCTTCCCTACCCTCCCCAGGGCATGGCTGCAGACTAAAAAACCACTTAGCTGCAGTCTAGAATTGGCTCCTTAGCAATGAGATCTCAAACTCATGTTACAGTCATCCAGCCCCTTTTGTTTTGGTATTCTCATTTGTGGTGTGTGGGACAAAGACCCAGGAAGCTGGCACCTTTGGCTATTCTTCTGTTTGCTGTTGATGTAAATAATAAACTGTTAGAATCTAGAAGAGGCTCATTGTAACTCTACCAGCTAAATCAGTAAAACTTGGCCATGGTCTTTTCTTGTCTTGTGTGCTTGACACTCTTTATGTAGACAACTACAATAATGGTAATTGTATTTTCATCCTTTTCAATTCTTATGCCTTTTACTCTTATTTTATTGAACAAATTAGTGGACTATATTAAATAAATAAGTGACAATGGGTATCCCAGAGCCTCCCTAAAATGTCACTATTAAGCATGTAATTTTGACTGTAAGTTTTGGTCATTATCCTTTTTTCAAGTTAAGGATGGACTATATTAAATAAATAAGTGACAATGGGTATCCCAGAGCCTCCCTAAAATTTCACTATTAAGCATGTAATTTTGACTGTAAGTTTTGGTCATTATCCTTTTTTCAAGTTAAGGAAATTCAATTTTATTCCTAGATTGCTAAGAGTTTTTATCATGAGTAGATAGTGAATATATTGAATGCCTTTTCTACCTCTGAGATGCTCATATCCTTTCATTTGTTAGTATAGTGAATTATTATCTACAATAACAGATTCCCAAAGGTTAACTAACTTTGCATTCCTGAGTCAGACCCAACTTAATGTTCTTGGACTTTGTTGTGTTGTTAGTTTTAATGGTTGATATTTTCAGATTTTTGAACCTATGATCCTTAATAAGACTGGCCTGTAATTTTCCTGTCTGTTCTTTGATTTTTTTTTTTTTTTTGACCCATGAGTTGTTTGGAAATTGAACATTTTATCAACATGTAGTAACCATATCTCTAGCCATTCTTTCTTGCATTAAAATGTATTTTACCTGATATAACTACACTATTTGGAGTGGGCGGGGGGGGGAGAGGTGGGATCGATGAGTGCTTGTGATTGCCATTTTTTGTTTCCATCCACCTCAAACTTTGTGTCCTTGCAAAAGCAAGTGAATTCTATAAACAGCATATGAGCAGACCTTTATTTTTACAAATTCCTTTTTGACAACCTTATTTTTAATTGGCAAATTTGGTCTACTTGCCTTTTTTTTGTGATTGCTTATATATTTAGGATGATTTCTACTACTTTATTTTCTACCTCTTAATGAGTCTTTTTGTATGCTTCTGCTTCTTTGCTGCCTTCTTTTGGACTTTAAAAAAAATTACAAACTTCCCACTAAGCCTTTGGAAATAGGCAATTTCTTTTACTAACTATTCTTCCAATGTTAACATGCACACTTAAAGTCTTAAGTTAATAAAAAGAGGAGAACGCATGACCATTTTTTCAGATCTTTTTTTTGTGTGTCATCATACTCTTTTGACAACTTATAAAAAAAAAACTATGGACATTATCATCAGAAAAACTGAACATACACAAAGAAAGCTTGAGTATAATTTTAAAAGTTCTCTAGACTCTCTGAAACGTATCCATTAAGAATCCCTAAACTGCATGCATGCTGAAATATCCTAGGATGATGGCAGGTGCCGAAATATCATAGGATAATATGATGTTTCCTATGATATATCATAGGAACAGAGCTCAAATCTTAAAAGAAAGAGTAATGGGTACAAAATGACCATGATAAGGGGTTGAAGGTGACACAAGAGTATTCAGGACCAGGACTAGGGTGACGTAAGGCACCTAGGGTGCAAAATTTAAGGGTCATTACTTGCACAACTCTGAGAATGAATGGTTCCTGAAATTCTGTGCCCTAGACACCTGACTTGTCTCACTTTAGACCCAACTCTGGTAAGATGACATGTGCTTTTTCTTGCAGTGGGAGCCATGGTTTAGAAACATTAATAACAGCCAGAATGCCAAACCTCTTTCTATCTCAGCCTCATGATATGAACTCCTTAGATAAAGAACTGGAATGCTTCAAGTTTGTTCAAAATTTAAGTCAGTTATACAAAGAGGTAAATAAAGACAGAGGCTACAATGGGCCATCATGGTGACCCCAGTCTTCTGCCTAGTTCAAATGATGATTTTCTTCCCTGCAAAGTATAACCTTCCTTTATCAAGCTCAACGGATTTGATTGAATTTCCTTATGAAGGGCTTTTTCTTCAATTTATCTGAAGATCTTCATCCCCTGCTGCTTCAGACCTTACCTCATCCCTATCCTCTTGCTACGACACTAGGTCCATCTTTCTTTCCAGGGTTTCATCTCTTTAAAAGGGCTAACCAGGTGGGAAAGTAGCAGCACCAGATCCAAGATGGTGGCCAGCAGGAGACTGATGAAGGAGCTTGAAGAAATCTGCCAATGTGGAATGAAAAACTTCCAAAACATCCAGGTTGATGAAGCTGATTTATTGACGTGGCAAAGGCTTATTGTTCCTGACAGCCCTCCATATGATAAGGGGGACTTCAGAATCGAAACCAACTTTCCAGCAGAGTACTCATTCAAACCACCAAAGTTCACATTTAAAACAAAGATCTATCATCCAAACATCAGTGAAAAGAGGCAGGTCTGTCTGCCAGTAATTAGTGCTGAAAACTGGAAGCCAGCAACCAAAACCAACCAAGTAATCCAGTCCCTCATAGCACTGGTGAACGAGCCCCAGCTTGAGCTCCCCCTTCGGGCTGACCTAGCTGAAGAATACTCTATGGACCATAAAAAATTCTGTAAAAATGCTGAAAAGTTTACAAATAAATATGGGGAAAAGTGACCTGTGGACTAAAATCTCCCGCGATTGATTCCAGCAAGTGTGAGCAGAGACCCCCGGACCATAAAAAATTCTGTAAAAATGCTGAAAAGTTTACAAATAAATATGGGAAAAAGTGACCTGTGGACTAAAATCTCCCGCGATTGATTCCAGCAAGTGTGAGCAGAGACCCCAAGCAGTGCATTCAGACACCCCACAAAGCAGTACTCTGTGGAAAATTGACACATGCCACTGGCTGGCGTTAGCTTGTGGCAGTTACTAGCTTTCTACAGTTTTCTTAATCAAAAGTGGTTTAGGTAACCTGTAAAGAAAGGATTAAAAATTTAAGATGTTAAAAAAATAAAAATAAAAAATAAAAGGGCTAACCAGGTTTTCTGTATGTTACCTCAAGTAATAGGGAGTTTAAATATAGGAACACATGTGGAAATAGGGATGGCTGAGGTCTTGACCATATTATCCAGTCTTCTTGAAGGCATAAGGGTACTTCACACAAAATAACCTGCTGGGATTTTGATTGAGATTGCATTTGATCTGTAGATCAAGTTGGGGAGAACTGATATTTTGACAAAAAATGAAATAGATATAATTCTAGCAAAATATATACAAGATCTATATGAGGAAAACTAAACTCTGATGAAAAAAATTAAAGAACTAAATAAATGGAGAGATATTCCAAGTTAATGGATAGGAAGAGTCAATATTGTCAAGATATTAGTTCCTCCCAACTTGATCTATAGACTAAATGCAATCCCAATCAAAATCACAGCAGGCTATTTTGTGGATATTGACAAACTAAAGACTCTAAAGTTTCTATGGAGAGGCAAAAGACCCAGAATAGCCAACACAATACTGAAGAAGAACAAAGTTAGAGGACTGACAATACCTGACTTCAGTACTTCCTGTAAAGCTACAGTAATCCATATGGTGTGGTACTGATGAAAGATGAGACAAATAGATCAATGGAACAGAATAGAGAGCCCCAAAATAGACCTACATAAATAGAGTCAACTGCTCTTTGACAGAGGAGCAAAGGCAATACAACGGAGAAAAGAGAATCTTTTCAACAAATAGTGCTTGAACAACTGGACATCCTCATGCAAAACGGTGAATCTAGATACAGACCTTACACCCTTCACAAAAATTAACTCAAAATGGATCATGGACCTTATGCAAAACACAAAAGTATAAAACGCCTAGAAGATAATATAGGAGAAAATCTAGATGACCTTGGGTTTGGTGATGACTTTTTAGATACAACCCCAAAGGCACAATCCATGAAAGAAGGAATTCATAAGCTAGACTTCATTAAAATAAAATTTTCTGTTCTGTATTGTCAAGAGAATGAAAAGACAAGCCACAGACTGGGAGAATATATTTGCAAAACATATAGCTGATAAAGGACTCATCCAGAATGTACAAAGAACTCTTAATGCTCAACAGTAAGACAAACACTACCATTAAAGAATAGGCCAAAGACCTTAACAGACACCTCACTAAAGAAGAGATACAGATGGAAAATAAGCATATGAAAAGATGCTCCATATCATATATCCTCAGGAAATGCAAATTAAAACAACAGTGAGTTACAACTACACACTTATCAGAATGGCCAAAATCCAGAACACTGAAAACACCAAATGCTGATAAAGGTGTGGATCAACAGGAACTCTCATTCATTGTTGGTGGGAATGCAATGTAGTACAACTGTTTTGGAAGATAGTTTGGTAGTTTCTTAAAAAACTAAACAGACTTTTATCGTACAATCCAGCAATTGCACTCCATGGCATCTACACAAAAGAATTGAAAATTTATGTCTATACAAAAACCTGCACACAGATATTTATAGCAATTTTATTCATAATTGTCAAAACTTGTAAGTAACCGAGATTTCCTTCAGTAGGTGAATGGATAAACAAACTGTGGTAATGCAGACAATGGAATAGTGCGAAAAAAAAATGAGCTATCAAGCCATGAAAAAAACACAGAGAAAACTTAAATGAATGTTAGTAAGTGAAAGAAGCCAATCTGAAAAGGCTACATACTGTACGATTCCAACTATATGACATTCTGGAAAATGCAAAACTGTAGAAATAGTAAAAAGATCAGTGATTACTAGGGGTGCATGGAGAGAGAAGGATGAATAGACAAAGCACAGAGGATTTTTAGGGCAATGAAACTGCTCTGTATCATACTCTAATGGTGGACACACGTCATTATAAATTTGTCCAAATCTATAGAATGTACAAAACAGAAAGTGAATCCTAATCTAAACTGTGGACTAGGAGTGATAATGATGTGTCAATGTTGGTTTATCAATTTTAACAAATGTACCACGCTGGTGGGAGATGTTGATAATGGGAGAGGCTATATATTTGTGGGGGCAGAAAGTACATGGGAAATCTCTGTACTTTCCACACAATTTTGCTGTAAACTTAAAACTCCTCTAAAAAAAATAAGCTATATTTATCCATTCTTAGAACCATACTCTATTTTATGCATAAACCCAAATCATTTTTAAGTAATTTTAATAAGTATGCTGAATTTTCCAGGTATAACCTCTGATAAATCTAAGGAATATTATATGTTGTGTGGAACTCACCATTTCAAAAAATTATGTTAAGCACAATAAGAATGCTCATGATATTTGAGTTACCACTATGAAATAGCTACTTCAGTCTTCATTTTTAGCTGTCTGCTCATGGTGATTTTACACATAACTGAAGCATCAGATAACTTATTTATGTGCTCAAGCATAATTATAAATTTAGGTTCCTTTTATTTCTCCTTTATTTTGAAATTAGGGAGTTATATTGATTATATGGTACATAGGTTATATAATTTATGAATTTCATTTCAGGAAAGTAAAATGTGTGTTATGAAATATTTGCACAAATAGGAAGTTATAGGATTTGATAGGGTTGAGAATCACTGACTTAAGTTATAAATGTACCGAGCAAAATAAAACATTATAATGACTGTGATTTCATTTCCTTTTATCTCCAGTATCTTTAATTGTTCCCTCTCTAATCATGTTTTCAAATATGTAGAGCTTCCCAAGAAATTGGCAAAATATTTATTCTTCACTATCTGAAGAATATTCTTCACTATTCTTCAATCTAATCTCTTCCTTCCTCTCTTTACCAAAGTATCAACAAATAACCCCCAGGCTGGCAGACCATAATCTTTCTTTGCATGAGCTTCTTCATCTATTGGTAATTCTCTTTGCTCTTAAAACCTTTCCTGATTTATATGACATCTAGATTCTTCTCATTAAAAAACAAGATTTCCTAATTTTTCTTATCTGTTAATGGTACAACCATTTTTTCAAGCTGGAAACCCAGCCATTGTTTTTGACTCCCGTCTATTTCACTAACACTTCCATTCTACCTTGAAAAACTTTGTCCTTAGGTAAGGATATATGAAGCAAAGATGATCCAGAACAAGAGAAAGAAAATCTGTCCCACTCTAGAAATCCAGATGGCATTTAGGAAAGAACAGAAATTCACCCTCACCTGAGTCTCAGCTGGCAAGAGAATGTTGTCTCTCTACTTTGGGTAGAATTGAAACTAAAATCACAGTTCTCAGTCTGAATAAAGATCAACATCCTTAACATGGTCTATAAGGTCTATAAAGATCCTTGATAACATCTTCAGCTTCCTCTCCCCATCTTCCCAGACCTCTGTGCTCCTGCCACCCTAGCCCTCTCATGGGTCTTCAGAGGTGCCATGTGCTTACCTGTCTCAGGCCATCTGCCTGAAAAAGTTTTCCTTATTTTCTTTACCTATGTTTTAAAATGTAGATTTTATTATTATTCTGGCACAGAGAGGCCAACAGATCAGGAGAAATTGTCATTGAAAAGATAGTTTATTACTCACAGTTCCCAAGAGGAGAGGATTCATCATGTCTTGCCACACAGGACCACATGGGGAAGCACCAACATTGGTCAGGAGGCAAAAGGAGCAGGAGGAAAATGTGGGTAAAAAACCTTTATTGTGGTTTCCATGGGAAAAAATAGGTGAGGCAGGATAAATTTTAGGATTGGCTAGTTTGAATAATTTCAGCAGGCTCTGGGGTGTAGAGGCTGTCCCAGGTTGTCTGGTACCTGACCCTGGAGTGATTAGGGCAGGGGAATAGTGGCCCAGAGTCTAAGAACCAGAGAGAAGAGGTGGAGAAGGGGCATTGTGGGCTCTAGATTGGTTGTTTTGTATAGAAAGGTGCACTCCTGGGGCCAGTTGTTCAATATCTCTAGGAATTAGCTAATCTTGAGAGGGACAGTCTCTTGGGGGATCAGCAGTCAGCAAGACCTCAAATGCCAGGACATCAAGAATACAGAAAATAAGAAAATGTAATTAATATAACTTATTAAATCTTTCTCATCCTTCAGTTCTCAGCTCAAATGTCACTTCCTCAGGGAAGCCTTCTATGACTTCCCAAACTAGGTTATTGTGCACTCATAGCTCCTTCACAATTTCTGGTCTATATGATTACTTGATCCATGTCTGTGTTTAACCAAAGTTCTAAACCAAACCTTCTAAGCAAATCAAACGAGGACATATAATCTGTCATTTTGCCTACCTTTGTACCCCTAGTTACAAAAATGGGGCTTGGCACACAACAGTTGTTCAAGGAATATGTAATGAATAAATGAATGATTGAATCTTTCTGGGCCTTAGTCACTGCCACACCAAAATGAAAATACTACAGGGATCTCTTTTACCTTCAAGTTAAATTCCAAAGGTCAGCAGATTACAAACTACTTTTCAAGGAAATAACGCTTGGCAATTAGGATGCTAGGTCAAATCCTAGCTTACACAAATAATATCCCTGATGTGATTCACACATCACCATCATTTATAACAATGTGAGAAAAATGTATTTTTAGATTATTACTAAAGTTTTTTTTTTTATTCCTGACTGCATAACATAGGTGTACATGTTAATTACAGAGTTTTTGTATTGTATTCTGAGTATGGACATAAGAACCCCACACTTTCTTCTCAGTA